GTCGACATTCCCGCCAAAATAAAAAGATAATCTAACCAGCCAATCGGGATTCTTGCGTACACGGACGGCGGACGGACGGACGGACGGAAGTGACGTCAGCCAAGCCATGAAAAATCTACTCGATGGCTTACCATTTTTTCTTAAGTATGGGGCTCCGCTAATATGTTTTTAAACAAATTATAAAGCAGTTTCATGCACGTTTTTCGGCATTCTGCAAAATCCCAAATGATAAGATGTACATGCCCAATTAGAACAACGTTCCTGGACGAAAATTTTGGTTAAAAGTTCGGTTCGACTTGCTGCTCAGCTGAGCTGGAGGAGTAATACACTAGTCAACTGAAGTCCCCTCCCCCGACCCCGGGACATCTTCCTGTGTAACCTGGACAGGGCGGGGAATTTAACACTACATAAATGTTAAATTCCCCACCCTTTCTTGGCAGTCGAGGTGTGGGGGTTTCATTTGACTAGTGCATGAAAACAAATAAAAGAAAAACAAAGAAAACAAAGAAACATAGAAATGAACGAATGAGGGAGGGAGGGAGGAATAGGAAGGAAGGAAGGAAAAGCAAGGGAAAAATGGAAGGAAGAAAGGAAGGAAGAAAGGAAGGAGGGAGGAAAGCAAAAGGTCCCCCCCAAATAAAAAAGGTCAAACCACAAACGAATGTATTTTTCTGACAATTAGAAATTACTGCTGAAATTTAAAAGATTTCTCCTCATGAAAACTCAAGAAAAAGACTTCATGACACTCTGCCTAAACGAATGTTGTAACTGCTAAAATAATGTAAATTACTAATAAAAGGTATTTTTTTAAAGGAAATGCATTTTCGGGCTTAAATTCCGGATGAAAATAGAAACCAATGAGAAAATATAGCGACCAGAAACAACAAATACTTGTCGATTTCAGTCACGGTATATGTCGAAAATACCCAATGTTCACGGCCTCCGTATGAACCCTAAATACAATAACCCAAACAGATTTTTGGATATGTTCTAGAAGAACATCTAAATGGTTCATGACGTGAGTTTCATTGAGAAAACAAAAGTTGCGCTTTTGATTATTTTTTTTTTTTTGGCGTAGCAAGGGTTAGATCTATGTGTGAATACTACTCGATATCTAAATATCAACTGACCGCTTTCAATAAATAGCCAAAACCGTTATTTTATACCCAATTAAGTCTCAAACATCTCTTCTATCAATTTATAAACATATAGTTTTCATATCGTTTTCCTATTCTGTATGCGTTAGTTGTTCTTGGACCTGTTTGATTCAACTGAAAATTTGCATACTTTGAGATCACCGCTAGGCCAACAGATTTACTCGGATTTTTCAGAATTGTAGCGGTTTTTTGAAAAACTAAYTACACCACGTTTGTTTACTCGGTAATACCCTCCAGCAAACCAAAAATGAGCAAAATCGAAATTTTGACTGTGACCGCGAATTCTCGAGTTTGCTCGATATTAGTGGACATCTGCTCTTAATATAACTATTTACAATATATACTAACAATTTATATAAATAAATAAATGGAATGAACGAACGAACGAACGAACGAACGAATGAATGAATGAATGAATAAAAATACATAAATAACGGATTATTCTAAAAAAAGGAAAAAAAATCAAGATTAATTAATCAAGTACTTATGGCCAGTTAAAAAGTTATAGAGTAAATAAARTAAAATAATTAAACAATCTGGTTCATATTCTTATATACAGGCTACATCTTAAAGATCACGGTATGCTTGTTTGAAGAGCCAGGTTTTCAGTGAATGTTTAAAAGTAGACAAAGAGGTACACAGACGCATATTTGAAGGTAGTGAATTCCACAGCTCAGGGGCTAGCGCTGCGCAAGAAAAAGCTCTCTTTCCATAGGTTTTAAGATTATGAGAGGGCTTTGACAGGAGGTTAAGGCCAGAAGATCTTAAAGATCTTGGCGGTTTATAAGACTTAAGTAAGTTGGAAAGATAGGATGGTGCACAGTTATTTAAGATTTTGAAAGTTAGGAGTAAAATTCTGTATTGAATTCGCTGCTCGACAGGTAGCCAATGAAGGCTACATAGAATAGGTGTGATATGTTCAGATTTACGAGAGAAAGTGAGGACTCTGGCTGCAGCATTCTGTACCAGTTGTAAAGAGGATTTAGGCAGACCATAAAGAAAGGAGTTGCAGAAATCTAATTTAGGAGAGATGAATGCATGTATGAGTGTCTCACAGGCCTTAGCACTAATGTGTTTCCTAATTTTGCAGATATTTCTTAAGTGGAAAAAGCAGGATTTACACATTGATGCAATGTGGTGTTCAAGAGACATATTCTCATCGAATATAACACCAATATTGCGTGCTTTAGCGGCCATTGAGATGTTATGACCCGAGATTTCGATTGAGTCAATAGGAGGCCTGGGACGATAAGAAGAAGAAGATAGTAAAAGCAATTCAGTCTCATCACCATTCATCTTCAAGCTATTCTGCATCATCCATCTGTCGATCTCACCCACACAAGATTCAAGCTTTGATTTTGCAAGATCAAGCTGGGACAGAGAAGACGTGGAAAAGGTAATATACAACTGAGAGTCTTCGGCATATAGGTGGAAATTTACGTCATAGCTACGAACAATGTCAACAATTGGTGAGGTATACAATATGAAAAGAACAGGCCCTAAAACAGAGCCTTATGGCACCCCATTGTTAAAGCTACGAGGATCAGATTTACCACTTTCCACACTAACAAATGACTTACAATTGGAAAATAAGACTTGAACCATTCCAGCGCAAGTCCACCAATGCCATATCTTGTTGCAAGCCTTTTTAATAAAATGCTGTGATTGATGGTGTCAAAGGCTGCAGCACATTGATTGTCTATGGCACGTAAGATGTCATTTTGGACTCTTCCATGTGATTTTCCCGAGGAGACTCCGAAGAAAAACCCGAACCCCAGAAACACGAACATTCCTTATAAAAGTTAAAAATGCCGAAAACGTCTCGAATGCTATAAATCAATCTCGAATCCTCCGAAATTGCACCGACGCAAGATCGCTAAAACTTCGAGGATATTCGTGATTATTCGTTGCTTCTTCGTTGCTTCCGATGCCAACTTGTGTCATGCCGAACGCTGGTTTGTAATCCTAAGGTCATGGCCCTTCGGGCCTGACCAACCAGGCTGTTTTCCGATTCTTCAATCAACTTAATGATAAATACGACAATCTCATATCTCAAGGTCCAATAAAAAGAGCATAAAGTAAACTAAGAATACTCAAAATATGCTGCTGATTATGAAGTGATCGAAAATCCAAAATGGCTTCCTCTACAAACAACGTGCGTGTATTTTTCCAGTGACGAAACTTGGCGAATACAATGGATCAGCGGATAGCGGATCAGCTAATTCCAGTTAAAGGTTTGAACTAACTTAAAGGAAATTCCAGATAAAGCCTGTAACTAACTTAAAGGGAAAAGATTAAAAGTACCAGCACAAGGACTGAGTCGAAGAAGTAATTTAAAGCAAGTTAAACGACTCAAAGGAGGAGGAAAAAGTCCAGTTGGTTTCATTGTAGGAGAAGTTGAATGGTGTGAAGCAACTTAGAGCGGTTAAAATCAAGAAGAAAGGGAACGTAAGTGAGAGCATACAAGAGACGACAAAGACGAAAGATCAAAAAACTAAAAGGTTGGCCAAGGGCGTTAAAAAAATGTAAGAACACTGACTGTCTTGTGAACTTTAAGCATTCAGTAAGATTAGAATTTATCGTTAAACATTTTTTTCTTGATAACTCGTTAAATAATTAGAATTATTTTCTAAGACTAGAGGATTATAATGATAATAATATTTATTTCTTTCGACAGTAAACCTATGTCACATTAATGATTTACAATGGGGAA